TGAGGAAAAACTCACTTCCAAAATCGGTCACGCCCGTTACGCAGCCTTTTAATTTTTTCCTGAGGAATGGAACAAAGTAAAAACAATATCTGATAAACTAAAATGATCTATAAAAAAAGTTCTTTCTGCTACTGCAGATAATTTTTTAATTAAACCCCAAGAAAGAGTTCAAATTCTTGTTTAAAGTTAAATTGTTGTCACACCCGTTACAATGGAATGACCCTCCAAGCTAATTTTTTTACCAGTGTATTGCAAGTTGTTTACAACTTGAACAACCCAGGGTAGCGAAGATACACTGCTAGATTGAGACGTCTGCCACAACCGTTGTAGTGCGCTATTTGTCTCGAAAAGACTTCGGTTTTTCACGTAAGCGATAAATTCAAATTTTTCGTAATCTATATGAAACGAAACCTCAATTGCTTGCATGTTGGGAGTTAAATTGTATATTTTGCCTTCGCAAATCGTGTTTTACGTTAAATTTTGAAGTGGAAATATGTACGTCACGTGCCAAACAGCTTGTCTGGTATGGTCAATAGGCATGTTTACAGAATGACGGAAGAAAGGCTGCCGAAAGAGATGCTTGATTTGGTTCCTCCTGGGATGAGCGTTAGGACGCCTTAGAGAAAATGAGGGGGTGCCGACTCTCTGAAGGGCTTTGAGAGGATAGAGGACTTCGGCGGCTAGGCGTCGCAGAGCGCCAAAGCGCTATTAAAGCAGCTCCATGTAGTTAGTTAATCTGATCTGAGACATTCACCATCTCAGGTTTTTAATGGTTTCACGAACAATACGAATAATAAGAGCGTAAAATTTAGATTGTTAACTTAACGGAAGCAAAAAATTTCAAAATTTTGGTCGTGACATCGGGATCATTGCAGGTTAGTGGGTATGTATCCCTGTTGACTGTTGGAGAGTAAACTTTGTAAATATGTATAATGATTTATTACCTAGCCCAGTGGGCCATTAGAGATGAACATAAACGTGCGTGTTGAAGAGAATTTAGGCCGATTGAATTCGTGTGCCGGACGTTCTTCTTTGATGTTTTCTTTATTTCTCGTCGACGTGCTAATTTTGCAGACAAAAACTTTTGGCCCCATTCGCACTGAGTTCGGATAAAATTTCATGAATTTTACTGCCGTGCTAATGAAACAAAGTCGTATCCATGTAGACGGCACTGTATCTTTAATCAAGCACACAAATTTTCTCGGAAACTTATTGTGACTGTTTTTCTTATCGTGTCTGTGGGTAGTTTTCAATAGTCGGATCTGGAAACAAGCAACTTGCATTTAACGAAAATAACGATCCACATGTTTCGGCAACATACATACGATGAAATGCACTCCATCAACTCAAGGTGTGGAATTAATAAAGATCACGTTTTGCTTGTAAACAAATCAAGATAATGAACAACAACACCCGAAACGGTAACTATCGGTAAGCCTGAAGTTTCCCGTTTCCGGTGACTAGAAAGTTGCCCCCTTGACGCGGGAAATTCAGAAAGGGGCTCTCCAAATTGTGCACGATTTTAATGCGATCATCGTAATCTTTTTACCATTTTGCCTCTTAAAAATCTTTTCGCAAGGATGTATCTACTGCGTGCCACGGACCTATCGAACTCGTACCCTTTAATGAGGGATATTTGGTCGAACTTCCGAAAAGTTAAGTCGACTTGATGATTCTTAAAATCCTCTGTGCCCAGTGAAAGGTTATTTTTCCCAAGGATAGTTCCGTCCATTATACATATGCATGATTTTAGAATACTTGAATTATAACAATAACTTTGATCAAATGAGTAAAATATTAAGTTAATTGCATAATGTGTGTAGCGCTCCGAAGTCAGACAAAATCACCGTATTATCACTAAAAATCAGAAATGAGGAAAATATTCACATCATAGGTTTAATCCTTCTAATCTAACTAAGCTTTGATCAGAAAAAAATAAGCTCAGGGTTTCTGCATACCTTTTTATCAAACGGAACAGTCTTCCTCTTTTTTTTCAGGCAGACGGTCCTGTATAAGCGTCTGTAATTTATATTCAATTTATTTTTAGTGCCAATTTAATCTCCACACGTTGCGCTAATTTTACCAGAGGGTTTCTAAATTTTTGCACTAAGAGAGCATCCAATTCCTGCCGTCTCTCAACACCTCATTCTCCGTTGGACGAATTCCTCCAACACCTCAGTCGGCCTGTGAGATCTAAAGATCAAAAGAGCGGAAAAAATTCGAATCAAAGGTTATGAAGAGGGCGAATAGGGGAAACACGATGTCATGAAAAGGTGGCTAGGAAAAGCGAAAAGTGAACAGCTCCTCGTAACAAAAGAGACATTTTTCGGAGTCCTGTCATTTTCGCATCCCGATGCCGTAAGCTTCGCGTAGAAAGATAAATGAGTTTGCCTAGTGGGCAATCGCATGGTAAATCGTCGAAACAGATTCGGCAGGATGCCAAGTTTTTGTGAATCGAAGGATTTTTGTCTATATGCATTTTACGTGATTTTGAAGATTCCCAGGGGTACGAAAACGGTAATCCCGTTGTGCGATTCGCGCGATATTTTTTATGATTTTGGAACGACTCAACGCCAGGACGCTGTATTTTACCGGATTTGGTGCTTCCTGGGTTGTGCAAAGACGGTAATCCTTTGGTGCGCTTCGCGCGATATTTTTTTGTGACTTTCGAACTACACAATGCTAGGACGCTGTGTTTTACGCGATTTTGAAGCTTTCTGGCTCGTGCGAAAGCGGTAATCCCGTTGTGCGGTTCGCGCGATATTTTGTGTGACTTACGAACTACACAACCCTAGGACGCTGTGTTTAACGCGATTTTGAAGGTTCCTGGGTTGTGCGAAAACGGCATTTCGGTTGTGCGGTTCGCGCGATATTCTTTGTGACTTTCATACGACTCAATGCTAAGACGCTAGCTTAGCAATTCTGTTAAGTAACTCCAGCGAGTCCACTGGAAAAGAAAACACATTGGATCTAAAGTCCAGACTCTTGAAAACATCGACAAGAAAAAATACTTCTGATTCAATAGGACTTTTGCTTAAATCTTAAATCAAGGATCAAGCCTCTTAATTTAAGCGAATTTCGTTTTGATTCTGCAAAAATCCGATGGAATCAAGAGTATTTTTTCTGGTTAATGTTTTTAAGAGTCTGGACTCCAGATTCAATTTGTTCTTGTTTTTTTTCCAGTGTCGATTATTGGAATTGATGTACAAGCGATAGACAAGAAAGACATATAGAGTATGGAGCGATCCTATTGGTTGATATGGGTGGTTCCTTTAGACAAAAGGGAGAATATATCGGACTAACTTCCTTTGTCCATTGCAACCAACCACTTCCACCAATAGATCCACTTCGAATCTCATTTTTTTTCCTCAATGCTCTCTATAGGAATGGCGATTTTTTTAGAATTTCCATAGGTGTGTGCATAAAATGTCTAATAACAAGATTTTTTTACCACAAATCCAAGGCAAATGTTAAGTGTTTTTAGAAAATTTTACAGGGAGATTTTTATCTCTTTCTTTTTTGCTGCCCTTCCTCAAAGACCCTATAAACTTGCTTTTAAGAAAAGGATAATTTTCCAACCGAAAACTTAAAGAACTCAATGGGAAAGACAGAAGTGTCATTTGATGAGAAAAATTACGGCACTTTACTTGAAAGCACTATTTTCAATGGCTCTCTGGAGAAATATTGTCACTTACAGCTGCCCTGTTTGATATGATTCGATAAAATCGATTTTTTCACGGAAATAATCGATAGTTTTCCGTGCTCGATTTTTCGGCTGAATCGATTCTTCCGCCGCCATTAATAGATTTTCGATTTTTTTTTTAAAAATAAGGAAACAAGTAAATTCTGTCATACCAAAACTTTTGTTTTGGTTTAGATTGATATTTTTTTCTCTCTGTTTTTGTGGAGGGGTCACTCGCACATGTTCAGCGCGGTTATACAATTTTCTGAGCGGGGTATGCAACCCGCACCGAAATACTACCGAACTGACCGCGTTAAACGAAAGTGAACCAAGTGCATTTTCTCATGCCCCTGAATAGAAAATACACATACTGTCAAAATGAGGTTTTAAGTGAACCCTAACTTGGGACCGTTTCTTTTTGGCCGCCTTTTGCGAGCGACCCTGGCCGATTCCACCCATGACATAAACTAGATTCACGTCAAAACTAAAACTAAACACGCCACTTTTACGACTGATCGACCAAAATAATTGATCAATAGCAGAACAATCGAGGAGGAAAAAAAGGAACTTTCAATAAAAACTTAGAATAGAGAGAGGTTCGGTTATGCCTCTCTATTCTGTGATAAAAATTTCAGCGTCCAAGTCCACACAACAAAATGTGTGTTTTTTTAACAATACGATTTTTTCGATTCGATTCGGCGAATCGATTTTTTGGTCGTGATAAAATCGGTGAAAATCAACCCGATTCTATTAATCGATGATTCGGAAAAAAGTGGCATCACTACGCAGCCTGAAACTACTTACGTGATTTTTGCGCACTTACGACTTTCTCATATGTCTCGTTTTAACAGAATTGAGATGAATTTTCCTGTTTATGCAATTTCACTGATTTCCTCTAAAAGAGTTTAGACGAATTTTGAAGGATACTCTATTTCGAAAATTTGACACTCACTGCTCTTTTCGCTACCACGGCAGAATACAGCAAGGATACCCTGCTCTACTGCAGACAAGTAGCGCCATCGCTGGGTACGCGGCCACGACACGAAGCTTGGCGCCGTGCCGGCTCTTCGTTCGCCGCCCTCTCGCCGCTAGTACACGTTCATCCGTCGTGTTGTATCCTCTACGCTGATCGTTCTCGTCCTCGTGTGTTGTTTACATTCACGTCGCCGCGATCTTTTTCGGCACGTAATTCGTCGGATAATTTTCACAATTCGTACAGCGTTTTTATCACTCTTAGCCCTCGAGCGAAGAATATCAACCCCGGTCGCTGCCAAACTTGCCTTGGGTTTTTATTTCTGTCACGGTTGTAATAAATTCGTCGGTTTGTGATAAGATAACGCGGGAACTTTTCGGGGTTTAAAGTTGGTTCGAGGTTTTCCATCAATTTTGCTTTTATTTTAATGCCGCTGTAGTTTATATTTTGTCATTGTTGGTAAATGCGGATTTGGCTGATCCCATTCTTTCAGCGACACCATCTGATCGAGACAGTTGACAAGCATTCTTCGAAGATATTACAAAAGCTCGCTCAGAATTTCCTTAGTTTTTCACTCCCAGTCCCATCAGCTGCATTTTTCGCGCACTACCAGTGAACTTTGGATTTTTCTTCGATTTGTCAGTGAATTTTAGAAAATTCCCAGAAGTGGTTTTGTCGGGAAACTGAAAATGTGGCGACCACCTTTTGTTAGTGTGTAAGTGCGGTGATTTTATTTTCTTCCGGTTGGATAGTAATTTCTGTACTATTTTTCGAGTTATCGTCACTCGTAAATGTTTTTCTTGACAGCAATTAATTTTCACTGTCCGAACTTCTTGAGTCCAAAGCGAGCTTTAACGGTTTTCGCACGTTTCGGGAAAATACGGTAGTTTCCCGCAGTGTCTTCTCCTCGGTGAATTTTCCTGTGAGCGTCAACGGATTTCCACTTAACGGAAGTTTTCCTCCTTTGTGGTCCGCAAGTGATTTTTTTCCCCCGCCGAGATTTAACTTTTGAAGTTCGGTATTCGAATCAGAGAAAATGGAATCGAGAAAATTCGCGAACGTTTCGTTGACTCTTGTGACTGTTCTGTTGTATGGTGTTCGAGCCCTAGCAGTCGCTGTTGCATATAATGGAAAAGGTATGCTCTCCTTAAGTTTGTTAAAATTTTTGTTTGATTTGATCACGTATTATCAATCGTATCTATTTTAATGCATTATTTTCCTTATTGAGCGTGGTCCGAGAACCGAAGTAACAGTAATCGCGATAAGTTACAATCTGATCCGAGGATGAATAGAGATTTTATCTACGTCGATTTACTGCAATATTTTGGGATATAAAATTGCGATTTCATCACATAAAATCGCAATTTTATCGACGGCGCGGATCAACCTCACTGGAAAAAAAAAACACACACACATTGAATCTAGAGTCCAGACTCTTAAAAACATCGACAAGAAAAAGTACTCTTGATTCAATCAGAATCTAGCTTAAATCAAGAACCAAGCCTCTTAATTTAAGCGGATTTCGTTTTGATTCAAGCAAAAATCCGATCGAATCAAGAGTATTTTTTCTTGTCAATGTTTTCAAGAGTCCGGACTCCAGATCTAATGTGTTTTTTTTTTCCAGTGCTCCTAACAGTTCCAATTAAAACTATGAAAGAAGCCAGATTTAAAGGAGTTCTTATAGGAAGTGAAAGTGTGAATGCGGCGCTTTATCGCAATATAATAGAATAAAGAGTCGTCATAAATTTAGATAAAATTTCGATTTCATCGAACCCGATTTTATAGAGATAAGACTAAGTTCAAGGGTAATCGGTCAGATGTTAATGATCCTTGCTATTTTATCGCCGAAAAATCGTAAAAAAATCGCAACCTAATCTCAAAATATCGCAATTTTTCCGTTGAACAATGCTGCTTGGGAGGAAGTTTGTTTTATGTATAAGCTGAAATTTTACAATTTTTTAACAAAATGAAGATTTGCTAAATATTTTAGCAGCAAGAGATGCTGCGAAGTTCAGACAGTTTGCGCTTATCTGTTGGAAATTTACCAAAATTTTGTGAAGGATTTATCTTTACTATTATTGCAGTATTTTTTGTGAAAAAATTTTCGAAGAATTTCAATCAACAAACTATTTGACCGACCTCGAATCTCCGAGGAGTATTTTATTAGCAGCGATTCTTTTTTCTTCGGATATAAATGGTTGTATGCGGAGAATGCGTATGTCGATTGCAACGTTTTAAAATATTTAACTATGTTTTATTTTCTTTAAGGGGAGCTAATCAAAATGTTCCTCTGTAATTTTTAAGTAATATTTTTCCGAATCAGAGAAGGAGATTATCGTAATATTTTAATAGGTACTTTTCGATACTAAGTTCGGTTTTCTTCGAGACAAATAGAACACGAACAGAAACGTGCAAAGTCAAAATTTGAAGCGCGCAGTTTCGTACTTCGTCATCTATATTTTTCACTCAAGAATCAATTTTTAACACCCTTGCCAGATCTGAATTTGATTGGAAACACCGAAGGTTGCAAGATGTCTAAAACCCTTTGTAAAAAACGTAAATTCGAGCATCGTTACTGGAAGGATCCATTGCCAGTAGAGTAGGTTGCTCATGAAATTAAGAAGCATTCTGCCCGCGACCAACCATCCAAAAATCCGTTGGAACCGAGCATCATCCTTCTCACAACAGGAGGCAGTTCGCTTCGTTATGACAACTCTCAGGGTGCTTCTAATTTTCATTTTTATGTTATTTATTCACTTTTATTGAATAATTTTGACTAGAAAACTATCGAGTCGGGCAATCCAGCGTTCAGACTTTTAAGACAATATGTCAACTCCTTAGGGTTACACAGCTCCATTGATCTGACCTTCCTTGATTCTATACCTAATTCTAAATAGGTGTTTTTTAGTTGTGTCTCTCAACTTCACCTAAACTCTAATTTCTAGACCGTTTCATCATAAGAATATACACGCAGATGCCTCTAGAAATTGAGCCTTAGAAATTGGTCAACCCTTTCGGATTTTTTTATTTTATTACATACCGTATATTTTCTCTATCGTTTGCTCCCTTCAAGATCAATTTTCGAAATATTTTAATCAGTGTAAGTGTTAGTTTAGTGAATGAAATCAAACACTCTTAATAAGTGAATAGCGTGCGCAACATTCCTGCCCTGATGATGTGTCGCAAGAATGTGGTAGAATTCTCTTTCTTTCGATTTATTTTTTGGGATTAAAATATTTTAAAATGTTTTACAAAAATCCGTAAAAGTTTAAAATTAGTTTTGTCTTGAGACGCGCCTTTGAAAAATTTAGCGCCTAAGCTTGAGCACCCTGAATTTACAATTTCAAAAGACTCAGAAATAAGCCGTTCAAGAAGCTGGAAGTGGCTGTGGCAAACTTCTTCGTTCTGTCAACTTTAAAGTTAAACGCTTAACGCGCTCAGAATTTATTGATTCATGACCTTTTCCTCGATATTCTTCAGAAACATTGAATTCACCAATACATATACTTTATAGTGTTTACTGAAGGTCGGGCCCTGTAGGCCTTAAGAGGAGTTGGCAGTGATTTTACTCCAGATTATTTTTTCGGTCTTTTTTTCTTTTTGAATTCTACATTTCCTTAACTCCGAAAAGTGAGTTTTAAAAAAAAAAAAAAAAAAAAAAAAAAAAATCTGATTATCATCGAATAAGTTTTGCAACGTTTTATGACGCATGTAGTACTGAAATCTGGTGCCCGGATTTACCTTGATCTACTGGACGGATTTTCAGAAACTCTTTCATGTTTTTCTTCTTGTCCTTTTCTCCAACTATGAACGAGAGGGTGTACCCTCATTTTTCATAAAAAAAAAAAATAAATAAATAAATAAGGTAAGAAGAAAAAGATTTCGAAGGTCTCATTTTGTCAATTGTGTTTAATTTCTTTTAAAAAAAATCCTGAAACCTCCATTTTCTGTTGAAGAAGTAAGTTTCGTTTGTAGTAAGAAAAGAGCCGAAGGAATCAAACAAACAAAAAAAGTTTTTGCAAATGCATCCAGTATAGAACCCAAGAAAAGTGTACACTGTAGCATCAGTACATTTAACACGGTGAAGACAGGTACTGCCGACCTCCCATATTTTGATCAAATACCGTACTAATTGTAAGTAATGTAGGGTAATCTAACCAAGGAGAAGACAAATATTTTCACCCATCATAACGTGACCCCCCTATTTTTTCAAAATTTTCCAGTTCCCCTAAAAGGCTAGTGGTGTTTTACGAATTGAACATTCACTTGACGCACGCGAACCGATCGGAGAGGAGGCTTTAAGACGAGACGGAGCTGGGTGTTGGCGAGCGATTTTATTGGATATCACTGTCAGCGTCGGGGCCGGAGGGGCCCAGGGGGGCGGAGCCGAGTCGTCACTTTGAGAGGCCACGGCTCTTCTCGTCTCTGAAATCAGATACGCGAGATCAAAGCTCCAGCATCACTTGCCCGGGCTCCCTTCTCCCAGTGGAAAACCAAACATTTAAACGGTGTTTTACCATGAAAATTAGCCCGATCTCGTTTATCTGATGGAGACCTCTGTGCAACGTGCACTGCTCCTTTTCATCGAGCCGATTCCCGATTCGCCTGTTCGATGCTCCTTTCAACTTTTTATAGCTCTTTCGCTGTCGGTCATGTTTTCTCGGACGGGCTCTTCTTCCCTTTCCGATTCTATTTTTACATATCGCGCTTTGCTCTGTTGGGCTGTCGAGCGACCGGGAAATGTCAGGGAATTTTTTTATGCGTCAGGGAATTCAGGGAAAACGTCAGGGAATCCGCAAAAATTCGACGTGTTAGGGAATTGTATCATGCAAGCGATTGTCGTGTCAGGGAAACGTCAGGGAAATCGAAGAAAACGAATTTTTCGGAAAATGTTTGGCGAATTTCATCTCGCGGAGATTTCCACGAAATTTCTACTAGATTTACTGTTAATGACTTTTAAGTTTAAAATTCAGGCAAAAATATCTCGCATAAGTTGGTTACCGTATATTTTGCGGTATTTATTACATTATATTCCTAAAACATGAAAAAAGTCAATGAATTGATTGAGTTCCACCGTGTCGAAAAATCAAGAATATTTTTTACTTTTTGTCAGGGAAATATTAAGGAATTATTTTTTTTTGTTTTTTTTTTAGAAAATTGCTAGACAACCTGTGTTACCTAAATGATCCTTACGCACCAAAAAAAAAACGACTCCAGCATTTGACTTTCATGATTTTTGCAGCTATCGATAGGAGATTGGTCATAAATAAGCTTGTTCTGGTAATATTAACCAATGAGGGGCTACTAAGTAGGGATGAGCGCGAAGCGTCCTCTAGGGGCTGCGCCACGTATTTTGCGACTGAGAGCTACTACAAATAATCATAGCTCATTCTAGATTCAACGCATGTTCAATCGGACTCTCTATGCAGATGCGAGCTTTTACACATGAGTCATAGATGGTAGTTTCTCATTGCAAAATCTAGTCGAATTTTTGTTCAGCCGGGGCAATAGTTCGAACGGATCCACCCAAGGTAGATTTACACAGGTATGGACAGAACTAAACAACTGGCCTCCGATTGGCTCTCCAACGGCCCCTTAACTTCCGCCATTTTGTATGTTTTGATTATTTTGATTTATTATGTTCGGTTCATCGTTCGTCAAAATTTTGTGTGATTTTTTGCACAATTTTGATAATGCGATATTAATTTTAACGTTTAAACGCACAAACGTTTGAATGTTAATTTGATTGTAATTTAATTTAAAAACGGGCCCCTTAACCTACGTCACGTAGTCATGTGACACGTACTGAGGCTCATGGGAAATTTTCAACTTGTCCATACCTGTGTAAATCTATCTTGGGATCCACCCGGCAATGCTTTGGAGCGGTTCCCAGAACTTCCAAGGATAACTCAGAGCTAAATACACACCCGCACATCGGGCATTTTTCCTCGTCCCGAACTCCCGATTCCACTCGGGGGCGAAGCAGCCTTACGCATCGCAACACTCGTCCGCATAACACATTAAATCCATCGCTAATCGCAATAATTCTTATTGGCCAAGTAGGAGCGGAAAACTATAATTTAGATGCAATTCGTAGATACGTCCGCAATGTTCCAGGGAGCAATCGGACGCGGGG